ACATCAAAGTGTGTTGTCAGTACGACCTGGTAGTTCTTAGAATGGAAAAAAGAAAGTAATTTGTGAGTTTCTGACCAGTCGTTCACAAGTCAGGGCTAAGCTAATCAACCTAGTGGACCAACAGCTGATTTCTCTGTTAATCTCCATTCACGCTTACTTGCGTATCCTTCGAAGAAGGCGGAGTCGCCAAAAAATCTTTTCAAGACTGATTTTACGTTGTCAAAAGAGACGGTGGAACAGGCGGTAAGAGTTAGCTGTTTGTCTTTGACGTTTAGTCCTGCCGTGTCAAGGAGCTTGAATGCATCTGGCAGTTCCGTTTTGGACTTATCCAACTTCTTGCATCGTTGTTCAAATTCGGTAATATAATCCACCGCCCTGTCTGACACTTACAGTACGATGTAAGTGTTGAAATGTGGATTATTTTCCTTCTTCTAAACACACTGATTGTTGGTCAGAAGAACAGTCTTGGCGTTGAGATGTTCCACTGCGATTTCCAGCAGTTTCCTGATAGCGACAGGGCAGCCGCTCATGCCTGCTTCTGTTTTCTTCAAGTCGGTAACGAGTCTCCAGATTTCAATCTCATTTTCCCAACTTTTGTAAGACGTCTTCTCACTGAACCTCGGAGGAACTTTGTAATTCCCAGCAGCGGCCATCCTCTTCTACTTGCCACCCACACTTTCATGGTGCCATTCACATAACCAGCAACATGGGAATTTCCAACCACATAGCACAACTATGATGCTCTCCCCGCCTCCCATTAACTCACATCCAACACATGCGCAGTAAGTTGCTATGTGTACAACTCAACAGCTGACACCAGTTCACTAAGTCCTGAGTCCACTGTCAGTCCTCTGAGTCGTCCTCATTTGTGATTAACAATGCTTAGAAAACAATGTTAAAACTAGAATGTCTGAAAAATTACATTACATCCGTGTTACATTCTTTAACATCTTTGGCCAAAGTAGCTAAAGGTTATAGTGGAGGATCGAATGAGCTACCCAAGCCTTCAGAACCTCATGTTGCAGACTTTGGCCTAAAGGTTTAAAAAAAAGATTTATGAAATAACCAACATGGAAACATTTTAACACTATTATCTTAGATTTCCTACAGTTTTACACAGACCACCTCAAAGCCCTGGAGCCTTGAAAAATCTTTCTTCCTTTCCTGAACTCCCTAATCTCTATATTGATTGCCGTCGTGATGCAGATCTATGATGTTGTTAGCTCTAAGATTAGCAGATTTCTACAACATGAAGCTGTCAGATCATCGCGTCATTGTGACGATCCGACAGTGATCATCACATCATGGCGTCTTGTTTTGTAGTCACGCGAGGCAGAAAGTCTGCACTTCCCAGAAAGCTTAAATCTCAGAGTCAGTAGATTCTCAGAGTGAGGATGAGCCAACACAGCCATGCAGTCAGGTTACATCCCTGACTTTCAGCTCTGTTGTTCTCAAATGAAATGAGGCTGAGCTTATAAAACAATCATTTTAAAAGTGTGTGTGTATGTTAATCTCTATTATTATACCAAAAAAAGAGAGCAGATTTCAAAAATATGGCATGCTCATCTCAAAAAATTAATTCTAGTAAGAGGATACATGAGGATGTTGATTTGATCTACAAAACTCTGTCATTTTGTCCAAAAATTGTTGTTTTTTTATCTTCAGAGTAAATGAAAAACTTTCTGCAAACAACAGGAATGCCTTTGCATTCCTGTTGTTTGCAGAAGCATCTGAGACAATCATGCTCAGCAGAGAAGACAGACGTATTTTCCAGCAGGCAGAAAAGAAAAACTCACTAAAGCTCAGCTGTGTGTGTGGTTTTTTTTATAAGCCAACACACAACTTAAGTTAAACAGGGACGCCACCTGTCAGAGGGAGCCATTAGAGGAAATCCCATTATCAGTAATCCTATAGGCTCAGTGGCAGGAGCCCAACAAGTGGGATCCACTCTCTCTCTCCCTCTCTCTCTCTTGCTCTCTCTACTGTGCATCTGCAATGTTAGGACAGACAAACTTGCTGCTGTTACAGTTGTCGTGGTGACAGACCTGTTAGTGCCAGTGCTACAGGGGGCGCGACCCCTGGCAGACTTCCTCCCTGTTGGATAGAGGCGCTCACTCAGGATATTAATGCTACTCCATGCCAGCCAGGGTACACAGTAAGTCTTCGTCTCTGGGGTTTCACTCTTCTGTCTCTTGAGTTTGATCATCGCTTGCTGACTTGCTTTGCTTTCTAAGCTTTCAGAAAAGAAAAAAACGGCCTTTCTGCTGTTTGCAGAAAGATAATTTGGGTTGGAGGACAGATTGACAGAGGTCTAAGGAGTTGCTCCTAAGACGATTAGCAGGACCAGATTGATTTTTTTGGGGGACGAATTCCTGTCGTTTTTCTTTTGTCACAATCTGTGTTTTCAAAGAATCCACTGTCAGTGGAAAATATTCCAGCCTTGGTCTAAGTTTTAAGCTCGTCTTTTCCTCAAATGCTGTGAAAAAAAAGCATTGTAAATACCCCCTCTCTGTTTTTTCACCATAAAATAAGAGTTTCATGAATCTCAGACTGTCTTGGAGTCTGAGTGAAGGTACTCAGTTCAGATTTGATCTGTCCAAATGTTTTAGACTGGGAAATGCAGTCCAAAGTCATCAACAGATGACGACAGAGCCCTTTAACATGGTGTTGACACGAAGCCATGAAGAAGATGCTAACTTTAGCATCACTAGCAGATGATAAATGTTTTGGATCTTGTGTCCAAAACACAAGATCTGGAAAGCTTTAGCACTGTTTCAGTTTTGCCATTTATGAAAAATGGTACTGACTGTGGTTCGTTGAAGTCCCAAAGCCTCAGAGAGGGCTTTGAAATCTTTTTTCATATTGCTGGATGTCATTGACTTTGTTCCTCATCGTTTCTTTACGTCCTTTAGACGATAAGAGAAACAAACTGTCATTGTTTTTCTTATATACCCTGATGATGTGTTTGTTGGCACAAGACCGCATCCTGCACTGTCTCTAGATATTTATAGAGTGACATTTGTTGAAATGCTTTGTCCTATTATTAGACGCTAACTTTGGCATCAGTATCAGTTTGATGCTTACCCCAATAATTCAGTGAAAGTGGGTCCTTATCAGAACCATTGAAAAGTCCATTACCCAGCGCTCCACCATGTATGTGGTGGGGTTTGTGCACCTGCTTAACCTGAAGGTCATTTACATAAAGCACAGCAGGAATTTTAGCTAAAAGCTAATGAGCTCTATTCTGTTTGTCTGAGGCTGAACCTGTTCTAATTATAAGTCAGGAAACTTTTGCCCTACCAGCAGAGTGGGCAGTGTGTCTGCATTTTATGTTTTCAAACACTGCATTCATTTGAAATTTAAGTGAAACTATCTCTTTGTCTTTAATGCTTGGCAGCCATGTTAGATTTTGAAGTTCTGGGCCGGTGAGCCCATTTCAGTCCTATTTCATCTGATTTCATTTAAAGATAAATACCACAGATTGTGTAATGGTTCATCTACTCAATGCGAAATCTAGTTGTTGTTTTTTTATTCTAATTTCTTCAGAAGAAACTTTGTTAAATTATATTAATATTTTCTTGTGTGACTGGTCACAAACATAATTTAATCTACTGCTCCCAAGAAACTCAAAATCAATACATCTATGCCATTTGCACTTTTTCTCATTTTAAATAATATCCCAGTTTATATTTGTGTGATGGTTTCTTTTTAATTACTGTAAATAACCTGTTGCAAATATTGTATTTTTTCAAATAACCCTACTCGGCTGTACATTTCTTTGAATTGGAATAACCTATTTTTAAGAACTGCGTAGGATTATTTATCCTGTGTTGTAATTTCTATTCTCCTATTTTTTTCTGCTTACTGCCCCGGTGGTAGAGTAAAGTATTTCTTATTTAATATGTTGATCTTCTGCCTACAAACTCCTATTTGTAAAGCTGTTCAGTCTGGGCTGCAGAGCCAACAAAGCTGGTTTATTGGTTTTTCAGGCAGCTTTCAAAATGGCGTCCCAGTTCCATCAGTTCTTTTTGACACATCCATCCATCCATTATCTTTACACCTTTGTCCTTAGTGGGGTCAGGAGGGTTGCTGGTGCCTATCTCCAGCTAACGTTCCGGGCGAGAGGCGGGGTCACCCTGGACAGGTCGCCAGTCTGTCGCAGTTGACACGTTAAACAGTCCGCAAAAAAGAAAACAGGAGCTGACGTCCAAATAAATAATGTAAACAATTATTTATCAATAATGAAATGTCAAGCAAACATTCCATGTGAGCAAATGCACGATTGACAAGTGTTTTTATTCCTTCAGTTAGCTCAACTTTCTCACTTCCTGCTAAAGAGCTGGGCTTGAGGCGGGCCGACACAAGATGGCTGCCACAGATACTCACATGATAACAAACATGTCAGCAGTACATTGACACACATTCACATTTACACACTCTGGAGCTAAAACAGAAAGGTTAAAGAGGAACTTAGTGCTTCTCAAGTAAAGGTTGGAGAATTGATGTGGTGTGAAGTATTATGTTGTCCTCTCTTAGGTTCTGGAGCAAGAACAAGTCAATGGTTCAATATTTTTAGATCTTTTTACTCGTAATGTCAAGCAAACCGTGATTTTTGGTCTTTGGTTTTTAAAATTTGGACTGTCGAGCGACTACATTTTGAAGATTTGGACGAGTAGCGTCTATTAAGATATGAATAAAGTATTCCTGTCTTAATGAAGCTGGTACATGTAAAGTTTGTCTTTTTTTGTTTGTTTGTTTTTAATCCTCATGCACCAACCATTTCTACGCCACAGTGGCGTGCAAAAGTGTTTTCCCCTTTCCTGATTCCCTGTTCTTTTGCATGTTTGCCACACATAAGTGTTTGAAATATTTAAAGACAACACAGGTAAACATAAAATGCAGGTTTTTTTAAATGATGTTCATTAATAATGGAGGAAAAAAAAAACAATCCAAATTTACATGGCCCTGTGTGAAAAAGGCGTGAAAAAGTGAAACCACCCTCAATATTTTAATATTTTTATTGTTTTTCCAGACAAGGCCATAAAGGTTCTGTGTACCAAAGTGTTTCACTGACGAGCTTTTAGCAGACCTGCTTGGTTTCCTCGGTGGAATCTACTGTGTGATCAGACGTCAAGGCGTCTGGTTTTTGTTCATCCATCCTGACCAGAACCAGCCTTACTGACAGAGAGGTGTGCAAAGAATTTCCTGCAATCCAATGTCACACGAGCCATCATCACGGCTCGTCTCCGTAATTACAGCAGATTCAACCGCCAGTCAGGGAAAAGAGGACTGAATCATAAATCCTGGATGCAGGCCCGTCTCGGTGCTGTGTCACTCTTTGGGTGCAGAGACAGAATCGTGACCTTGCAGCGCTGCCAGCAAGCAACAAGGACTCGCCAGTCTGCATCTGGCTGGACACACACACATCCTATGGGAGGGAGGGAGAGAGAGAGAGAGAGAGAGAGAGAGAGAGAGAGAGAGAGAGAGAGAGACCTGGTGTGGACAGTTGAGTTGCTGATGGGGGTAGAGGAGCTGCCTCCCTCTCTGTAGCTGCTGCCTCCCGTCCCGCCTGTCCCTCCTGGAATCTGCTCCTCTCGCCCTCTTCCTCTGAAGGTAGGGCTGCTCCTTCCACCCTTCACGCTTTTGCTTCCATCCCGTTTCAGCTGTGTCATTCCTGTACATCTCCGGAGAACTTTGCACTCGAACACGTAGGAAGTGGAGAGCGAGTGCGACTTGTTTACTGCTGCCTGGTGTCTGGCAGCCCCCAACCCCCCACCCCTCCTGTCCTGCTGGCGGTGTCATGGCAGCTGCCATTTGTGCCCTCAGCTTAGGATGAAGGGACCATAACAAGACTGTTGTTGTTGTTGTCTCCCCCCCATGCACAGGCTGTTACTCAGCCAGCGTGAGGCTGGCGGCATGCTGCCATCGGTTCACGTCGTTGTATTTGCTGCATCCTGACTCGACTTCTGCTGATGTCAGTACAGCTGTGTGATGACTCCGTATTGATCCACGATTGGTCGAACATGTTGGCCTAGAAATGTTGTCATTCTCCTATTTGTTTATAAATTGCTGTTTGTGATGCACAGAAACTCATAATTACTTCAAAAATGGTCTATCTTTTGTTTTATTTTTCACCCATGAAGGTCGCCATTTTTTTTTTTTTTTTTGATGACGCGGTTTGGTCCACTGTGTACCAGAATCTACCGAGTAAGCACAGGAATGCTAACATTTAACATTACGTTTGTTTTTGTTTTGTTCTTTTTAATCGTATTGCATTTGGTGTAAATTTAGACAATGCCACACTGTATTGCTCATGGCTGCAATTAAAAAAAAGATAGAAAAAAAAGAAATGTAAAAAATAAAGTGAGCTAACTGTAAGCTTGAACTTTAAATATGCAGCTGAGGTGTTTTCAGCAAATCACAAGCCCTTCCTTCTGTCTCACGACAACCCATTACACGCAAGCAATTATCAGATTCTTTTTTGCAGCAAAAAGCAGGTAATGTTGTCTCCAAGTACTAAACAGCAACTAAGGAAAACTTACTCCACTGATGCACTCTTCCACTTTAAACTGTAGGGGACAATGACATCCCATTCACATCCCATCAGGTCAGGAGACACTGCTCACAGCCATGCTAACTAAATCCTGGCCTCTTCATGCCAATATTGTGTTGCTTTCATTTTTTACGCCGCTAACTGTGGCTACCAAAAATAACATTTTTCAACTCTTTTCAAATAGGGTTAGGGCCATTTTAAGGAAACAGACTTCAAAGGTTAGAAACATTTGTTTCCTAGATTTCTGCCATATACGAGCTAAAGTTTACATCGTTATTGTTTATTTTGTAATGACAGACATGATGATTTCATTTTAAAGTTTGCATAAATGTTTATTTACATACAGCTGTGGATCAAATGAAGAGCCCACTGCATCGAACCCCATTGAAAACCTGCTGGTTATTCCAATAAATACTGATTTCTGAACTCTTCCTGAGTTAAAAGATTTGCGTTGTTGTTTCTGAATGAATATGAACTTGTTTTCTTTGCATTATTTGAGGTCTGGAAGCACTGCATCTCTTTTATTATTTTGACCTTTTCTCATTTTATACAAATAAATACTAAATTTTGCCTGGGATTTTGGTGGCATGATGTCAGTAGTTCATAGAATGGAAGAACAACGTTCATTTTACTCAATCATATATCTATAAAAAGTAAAATCAGAGAATCTGTTATTTTTTCCAGAGCTTACATTAAATAAAAAGCCCATTTACTGCACCCCTGCCCCTCCCAGCTAAGTTCCTCAGGATCCAGGTTTGCTATCCTGACCCTCTTATGCATCTAAGGGTTAATAAATGAAACCTCTGGAGGTTTTGTGTCTACAAAAGAATCGTACTTCCCCTTACATGTGACTGCCCTGTAATGGACTGTTTTTTAGATCAGGCTTCTGTCTGTGTGCCATGCAGATTATATGCCTTATGTGTGCCCAGCTTTCGCTCTCTGTGATCCTGGGAATAGTGTCAGCAAGAGCTGCCAAGGCCCCCTAACATGTGGCAATGAAAAGCCCAGAGGGATTGTCTTATTAGTACTCTATAGCAACTAACAAGAAGACTGGAGATGCAGTTTAACACGAGTCAAAATGTATGATAGTGTATTAGTGTGTTAGTACTCATAAATTAATCTTTAATCTTTCTTACATTTTTTACGTTCCAGTATTAAACTTTATTGGATTTTAGACCTGGGCAGTGTAGCTCAAAAGGACCAACTAGAAGAGAAATTATGTATAAGTTTCTTTTTTTTTTTTTTTTTAAGAAAAATCAACATAAGATATTTGTGTATATTTATCCAGCCCCCTTTCTCAAAAAGCCCAAAATAAAACCTACTGCATTTAGCAGCCTCCAGAAGTCACTAAGTCATGTTCATGTTTAGTCATGGTTGAGATTACAGACTTTCAGTAAGATGCCAACATTTCTCCGTCCAGTATGAGACTGAAAAGTCAATAACAAAAAACAGATCAACAAGAATATAATCTTACATCTCTGTCCTTATGTTTTATTGTTTTTAAACACTCTACTGAAGCTGAAAATATATAGATTTGTGTCTCTTTCCTGCAGCAACAACCTCTACACCGAAGAGAGTGTAGAGAGGGATGACCTGGCATAATGTATTCAGTGGTCAGAAAAGGTTGTATTGCTTCCTTTTTCAATTAGCCGGTCATCAGTCCATAGCCAATCAATACATAAATTGGCCGACTTCGGACAGTGGCCGATTATTCATAATGAACTTTATTTATGAAGGAACAATGTACAACTCAAACATAAATGTCACAGTTTAAAGCGCTACATCAGATCTTAGCAAAAGCTAATTCACATCTGCAGTCCGGTGTTCAGCACATCTCACCCTGTTCTTTGTCAAACTGTTGTTTATGTGCATGGTGAGTTTTATTAGTCCCAGTTTAGTCTGTTAGCATGAAAATAAGACGCCATGTTATTTAATTTATTTTCTTGTTTTATGTTTTATGTATCGCAGAAGCAAAACATACTCTGTAAAACATCACTTCCACATTCCTTCCCACCCAAACTCCCCTCGCCGTGATCTTCTATGCGGACAGGTGAACTGGGGAAAAGCAGACACTGCAGGAGGCTCTGCTCTGACCCGACACTTAAGTTCATATCAGCAGTTCCAGTCAAGCCGTTCAGATGGTCTCACTGTGCTCATCGCCTCCGGACACGTGGCTATTTTTGTAGATCGCTCTAGTTAAAAACAGTCTGGCACGCCAGTTGTCGTCTTTGGAGAAAAGGAAACGGCATGTGAGCAGAGATATCAGAGCTTCTGTACTGCTTGTGATCTTCTTAAAGAATAACTTTCAAGGATCGTAAGAAAGTTTTTCTGTTTTGAACCCTAGCTCATCTTATTTTCCTTAGAAAAAAAATAATATCCATATCTGTCTATATGACAGGGCGATAACGTTTTCTGACTGAGTCTTTATTCGTTGGTATGGAAGGTTGTATAAACATCACAGTTCATCCCAGGGATACACACGACTAATCCTTTCAACCATGCTGAGTCTTGGCACACTGAAACATGGAGGAGGTGGGGTAAAACCTTTTTATTTATAGAGTTTAATTGCATACAGTAAATCCTTTGTCACCACTTCTGTCACCATTAACATAGCTATCAAACAGGTGAAGTGAAAGCTTTTACCTAAAGCATTCTCTGCCTCACGCCCTAGGAATGCTTATGCTGTTCTAAGGTTGTGGGACTTGCATGTATGAACATTTGTCTGGATGCCTGTTCAAACTGGTCTTCTTTTAAAGACTTATGAGAAGCCATGTGTACATGAGACACATGCATCCTATGCAGAGAAAGGCTCAGACATGATGGAAAAGCCTAGCAGAGGTTAAATATGAAAGAAAAGTGTTTACAGTGAGAAAAATGCCTGCCAGGGACCAAGAAAAGCTCATCTTTCCCAGTTATTAGAAGCTGAACTTCTAAGCTTGCTACATCGTGCACAATATTTATTTTTTTCCTTTTGCTGCTCGGCTCTCACCCTCAGTGGCTCCGCCCTGCTTGTAGCATCACTGTGTTTTGATTGGAAGCATGGCGACACTGTGGCCAATCATGTGAGATATGGGATCATACAAGGTCTAGAGCAGAGGAGGGGACAGACGGGACAGTCAGGTGGAGAATCCGTTTGTCCCCTCAGTCAGTGGACAGCGGTGAGGAGGAGACTGTGTCAGAAAAAGCCAAATGACTCTCACCCAAAACTGAAGCCTGAGCCTGAGATAAAAAAAAAAAAAAATCTGAATTAATTCTAGACGTGAGTAATAATGACTGTGTAATAACGTGAGTGGTAATGACTGTGGAATATGAGGTAGTTCTAGTTCTACATTATTCTAAGAACATCCCTTTACTGTGGTGGGAATCCAGTTTTTTTGCCTTACTAATAAAGAATGGCTGAGAGAAAATGAGCTGCTGTGTTGATCGATATATTCACTAAATATGGGACTTTCACTGCTTCTACTCCTCCTGTTTGTGCGTTAGATGGGATTTCCTGGTTTAGATATTCATTTAATGAGGCTGGATGAAAGTCTGAGTCGGTCGGCTGCTCTGACCTTCGCTCTCGCTTCCCCCTGTGCAGTCTGAGAGAATTTGATCACGGATGCAGTGACTCAACTCCTTTACAGTAAAAGTCTAGGCTCATTATTTTTGAATTGCAAAAGTAGCTTTTATGTTTTTAACTCCAAATTGGCTTACTATCAACTACAGTTGCCTTCAGAGTGAATGAGGCCGACTATACGCTCACTAGCTAATGAATACCTCGCTTAACATAGCCAGGCTTTTATTACTAGTCTTTTTTTGCATGTTGTGTTTTAGTAATTTGAGCTTTTCTTTCATAAAAGCCTCACTTTACAAACACATTTGTCTTACTGTAATTGGTGACATGATTTAACTTTGACTCTTATTTTGACATGAAAACAATTATTAGGTGCCTACTGTGGTGAGATGTAAGTTAAGAAGAAGAACCTCAGTAAATAAACGTGAGAAATTTAGAATGTTTTCTGAAGAACATTCAGAGCACGAAAACAAAACTGCTTTTGTGCTCATATTACACACAGACTCTGTTTTCTATTTAGATGATTCTTAAAGGCAGTTGATGACACTAGCTTTTATTTTTAGGGTATTTGAGTAAAAAGAAACTGAATATGAATGCAGCGTTTCCTAATCCCATCGTTGTTCCCTCATCTGCTTCTGATTTTTCACGTTCTTTGAAGATGATGAATTAAAATGTACATTCTGTTCCATCTGCTCTCCCACTACTGTACCATCATAAAGACAAACTTCTAACTTGTTCAAATGAAATTCAAATCCAAAAATACTTTACTGATGCCTAAGAGAAATTAAATGTTGTTGTAACTCCTATTAACTCAAATTCTTCAAAGAGTTATTGAAGATGGCGGTGACTGTTGGCAGGAAAAAAATCTCCTGTGTTTCTTGAAATCCCATCTCTTTTCATTGGCTTTTGAGCGAGCGTTAGAGAGGTCCTTCTAATTGTCAAGTTGTGTATTACATATTTGAAATAAATATGATTTATTTTGATGTTTTTATGTTATGATTGTTCAGCACTTTGGTCAGTTTTTGCCGTTTTAGAAGTGCTTATAAATAAAGTTGGTTTGGCTTGTAACCTACATATGTTGCTACATACACTCACTCTGCCACTCACCAGAACATTGTTATTCACACACTTGTACGTCCTTCACAAAGGACATACAGAATTGGATGCATACAATCCTGTATGTGGATTGTATGCATCCATGGATTTCAGGCCACAAAGCTCCTCCATGGTGTATGCATTCTTCATGTTCGCTAAGTAGTGAACTGTGTCATGTTCGATCGGAGGCGGCTCGTTCACATCGTCTGACATGTTTCCATTCTCCATCACGTATGGGTCGATCCTAACAGCAGCCATTTTGTTCGTGTATCTTACTCTCACACATTGATTAAGAGTGTCCATATATTTTCTTGTTGTTGGTGTTGAAGCCATGGTTCATCTATGCCTGGGGTGTCCAAAGTCGGTCCTCAAGGGCCGGCATCCTGCATGTTTTAGTTCTCTCCCTGGTTCAGCACACCTGCATCAAATGATGGCTCATTAGAAGACCTAAGGAGAACATTGACTTGCTGAGGAGTTTGTTACAACCACTAGGGAGAGAACTAAAACACGCAGGATGCAGGCTCTCGAGGACCGACTTTGGACACCCCTGATCTATGCCCTTGCCTACTAAGATGGCACAGATCACTTCCGGTTCAGACTTGTGGGGACTATGTATTGACTCTGTAAGGGACAGCTTATTGTGAATAAAGCTAAACAGGCTGAGTTGGATGGGTCTCCTGATTTTTTCCCCCTCATATAGTGAAACATCTAACCTACCTGAAGATACTATAGCCTCAGTGAATCACAGCAGCATAAGGAATGAAGGAAGGTGAAATTTGATGTGGTTAATATTTAGCTTTTTACATTCTGCTCTTGATTGCTGCCCCCTACCTAATCATCTGCTGTGGGAGTCCAGGTTGTGTGTGGATGTTAGGATTCAGGATATAACGACATACACTTGAGTCACTTTGGTTTTAATTGATGTTAACACTGCAACAATTTGAGTGTTTGTTGACTTTTCTTTGGTTTTATTCTAATGAAGACTAGAACTTCAGCTGCATGGTCATTTAGGACTGCCTGCAAGGAGAAAGTAGGATGATCATGAATTCATACACTTGCATGAATTTATAGTGCCAAAGTTCACTTCTCCATCAGTCATGCGGTCCTCAGTGGCACAGTGAGCAGTCTCGGCCAGGGACCTGTCTGATCCAAATGTGTTTGTGTGTCGCAGTGTGGAAGGTGACGCCCCTGGCAGTGATGTGAGCGTATCTGTGGATCCCTGCGTCATCTATGGTTGCAAGCCAGTGACCCACGGCGGCAGACCTGGCCTGGACTACCTGGACAACCAGCTCTACGGACACATCTTTCTCCCGAGCCACGTGCGACCCCGCCGACCCAAACTCCAGCACTCCCAGTCCATCCTCCGCAAGCATGCAGAGGAAGAGGCCATCAAGCGCTCCCGCTCAATGTCAGAGAGCTACGAGCTCTCGTCAGACCTCCAGGACAAACAGGTGGGAGGGAGGGAACAACCTGTTCATAACCTACTGTGGCTGATGATGTACTGAGATAGGTACCCGTCTTGTCCACTTGTCATGTTTGCTTAAAAGTTAGTTCTTCTTGTGTGAAAACAAAGACCCTGAGCTCCACTTTAAATGTCCATCACCCAATCCTTTCATTTTATCCTTAAATCTCTCTGTTTGCTCACAAGTCATCACTATGGGCCCTGTTGACCAGGTCAGCAATACCTTAAATGAGGAAAGATAGAAGGAGCTGAGCATGACTCTGCAGACCTCCTGTGACTTCAGTCATTTCATTTTCTGCTGCCCCTCATACTTGATTTTCTTCTTGTGCTCAGCCTCAAGTTATTGATTTAAATGTTCAGTTCTTCTTGTTAGGACTATTACATCACTGACTCTTCATTGTGCCATTTGCTTTTGTGTTTGACTTGCAAATAGGTCAAACTTTACTAGACATTTTAAAATCACCGCCTTTGTTAGACTGAGTGAAACTATTGACTTCCCCCAAACTTTTCCCCATTTTGTCCCGTTGCAATCACAGTCTTCATTGTATTTTATTGGCAGTATATGTGATATACAAGCACAATGTAGCATATCATTTTGAGCTGGAAGCAAAATGATTCATCGGTTCCTCTTCCCGTAATCGTTCTAAATAAAGTCCAGAGCAACAACCAGCCATCAGAAGATGCATGTTTTTGAGATGAAGGCTGCTTTTACAGCTTAATGCTTTCAGCCAGTTTACGAGAAGTTTGTATATACTCTGTCAACACAACGGGGCAACTCAACAACTACTTCCTTTCTTACTCTTAGTAAACATGGACACATCTGTTTACGTCCCCAACACAAAAGTCCAGATGCCATAACATTTAAAAACACTGGACTCTGATTTGACTCAACTTTGAACTTTTATGCCTTTACTTGGGACTTTACTTGAGGTTTTGGTGGAAATGTTTGAAGACCTACTTGTGACTTTCAATACAGTTACTCAGTCCCACATTTGCTGCTTACTCACACTTGATTAAAATTGCCAGCGGAGTGAGACTACAGCTGACTGACCACCCTTCTTTTTCTGTTTGCAGGTGGAGATGCTAGAACGCAAATATGGCGGGCGTTTCATAACCCGGCATGCCGCACGTACCATCCAAACAGCCTTCCGCCAGTACCAAATGAATAAGAACTTTGAGCGTCTCCGAAGTTCTATGTCTGAAAACCGTATGTCCAGACGGATTGTTCTGTCCAACATGAGAATGCAGCTTTCCTTTGAAGGACCTGAAAAAGTCCACAGCTCCTACTTCGAGGGAAAGCATGTCTCTTTATCTGACGAAGGCGCCAAAATCGGTGCACTGGTGCAGTCGGAACACGGCAGGGAGAGAGGTGTACAAATGAAGATACCAAGCACACAGAGTGACCTCACATATGCCGTCACAGAACTGGAAGATGCCTTCTCCAGGCAGGTCAAATCTCTGGCCGAGTCCATCGATGACGCCCTGAACTGTCGCAGCCTACACGGGGAAGACAGTACTTTAGAGCAAGGAAGAGGCCACCTGGATACGGACAGAGAGCTCAGCCACCAGTTGGAATCCTCCCACAGCGCTTCAGATCACCGCAAGCTAGATGAGATGACTGCATCTTATAGTGATGTGACCCTTTACATTGATGAAGAAGAACTATCACCCCCCTTGCCTCTCTCTCAGTCTGTAGACCGGCCCTCCAGCACAGAGTCAGACCTGCGCCAGCGTTCCCTGAACTCCTCCCAAGACTATTGGTCGCTTGCTCACAAAGATGAAAAGGGGGACACGGATACCAGCTGTCGCAGCACGCCTTCCTTAGAATGCCAGGAGCAGCGTCTGCGAATGGACCACCTACCCCTACTGACTATAGAGCCCCCCAGCGACAGCTCGGTGGAGCTGAGCGACCGGTCTGACCGCAGCTCATTAAAGAGACAGAGCGCTTATGACAGGAGCCCCAGCAACCAACAGAGCAGCCCCAAACACATCGGCCACGGCCTGCCACCTCGGGGACCTTCCCGGGAAGAGGACCCTTCCCGTCACTGTGCCCGGCAGCTGGAAGCCCACCTGGCTATCAACGGTACACCCAACCGCCAGAGCAAATCAGAGTCTGATTTCTCCGATGGGGACAACGACAGCATCAACAGCACATCAAACTCCAACGACACCATCAACTGCAGCTCCGAGTCTTCATCCAGAGACAGCCTGAGGGAGCAGACGCTCAGCAAACAGACGTACCACAAGGAGACTCGGAATAGCTGGGACTCACCAGCGTTCAGCAACGACATCATTCGCAAGAGACACTACCGCATTGGCCTAAATCTCTTCAACAAGTATGTGCACCCCACTAAAACCATTAAGCATAACAGAACTCAAAAATATGAGACTTTAGAGTCACTCGGTGCACACAACTATAGTAAAACAACAAAAGATGTCGTGTTTTTTTCAAGGTATTCTAAGTAAGAAAACGAACAAAAAAACTATCCTGATTCCTCATAAAATAACTGTGAATGTGACTCACTTTAATCACAACCCTTGCCTCTTCATGGTGTCCTTCACAAGTCAAATTGACCTCCATTTTGCTCAGTACCTACATTTGTGTGTGCTGGACAATAAGAAGGTTCTGCACAAATAATGCACCAAGATACTTTCGGTTGTGAACAAAACTTTTCCAGCTCAGAAATTTCCAAGATTTTTCTAGAACATTTTTTCCAGCAAATAGTTGAATTTTAGAGTTCAGAAGTTTCCATGCGTTTTCTAGACAATTTCAAAAATATCAGAGCTTTTTGGCAGACATTTCTTTCTTTCTTTCTTTCTTTCTTTCTTTCTTTCTTTCTTTCTTTCTTTCTTTCTTTCTTTCTTTCTTTCTTTCTTTCTTTCTTTCTTTCTACAATGCTCCAGTATGCTGTCCTCGTCTTTTTCCTCAAAACACCTGCCACTAACCCTCTCCAACATCTTCATCTGGATTTTTGTTTACCTCTTCAAATTTCTGATTCTCCTATGTCTCACATCTGTTTTCTGTTTTTGTTTGATTGTAAATCGCTCCATTTTGCGGTCTGAATATACGGAACCGGCTTAGCTTGTAGAATCCCCGTTGCCGTGTCGCCCTCTGCTGTCTGGGTGTGGCAGTGTGATGTAATCAGTGACTGTGTTGCCAGTTTTCACAGTATGCCCCATTTGGAACCAACTTTAATTGGAGCAAATTGACAAGTAGAATGGAGGTGTTTGGAATATAGAGCGCATTATATTGCTTCGGTATAATGTTTTTAAAAATTTATTGGATGCGTTAGCATATTGCTATAACCTGTCACGAAAGCCACCAATTAAGCACGGCGAGCCATGCCTGCGTTTGATTCGTACTTCTTATAGTTAGATAATATTGAACATCTTTTCACATTTATGTAACTCGGCAGCATACAGATAAAAACTGCTTTTATTTGATTGATAAAATAATATTTAGCAACATAACTGTTTCCTCAAAGCCTCTGTTTAGGTGTCTCCAGAGTCACTTAAACTCTGGACCGACTGGATTTGTTCCTGTTTGTTACATTTGTGGTAAAAAGACCATTGAATATGCAGTGAGACTGAATAAGCCGCATTTATATCCATGCTCGGTTTGTGCTGAGTTCTCATTCTGCTCCACTTCACGTCCAGGGGTTCACTCGGGCCGCGGTGATTTTGCTTAATCACAGATGATTGCGGATTTGGTGTCTTTCCGAGTCAGTTTTTAAGTTCCTTGTAATCATGTGGGAGCAGCACCACAATCAGAAAATCACTCCTCATCCCATTCCGTAGCTCTCCAAATCCTGTTCCTCTGTTGACACACTTTTCTTTGATAGCACTGGGATAATCACAGATTTGGATTGTATTCTCACTCCCTTTGTGTGTGTGTGTGTGTGTGTGTGTGTGTGTCTCTTGAAATTGTTTCTCTTTCCGGTGTCTCTAGGAAGCCAGAAAAGGGGATCCAGTATCTGATTGAACGAAGCTACGTCCCGGACACTCCAGTTGGTGTTGCCCACTTCCTCCTGCAGAGGAAAGGCTTGAGTCGGCAGATGATTGGCGAATTCCTTGGCAACCGACAGAAACAATTCAACCGAGATGTTCTTGAGTGAGCGATTCATTTTTGCCCGCTTCTGTTGGTCTGGATGCTTTTGATTGAACTCAAAAGAACTGTGTGTTTTCCTCCATGAGCATGAATTCAGATCATCATTCCAATGCCAGATGTGGTTGGGACTTAAGTGAAATAACCAGGAATAGAATGTACTCAAGAAAGTGGTACGATGCTCTGAAAAATACGCAGCTTCTTTTTAGGAAGAAGCAAAAGATCTTCAGTTGGAGATCTTTTGCGTTAAAGTGCTACTTGGACAGGATGCTTCAGAATGCTTCCCATGAATCCTCCTTGACACACAGCACTTCTATCACAGCCGAATCAATGGAGGGCAGAAAACAGATTGACACATATAGAAATCATTCAGAGAATATTGTCTCATCTTTACTTGTGAGGTCTGAGTTAGTCACAATCATCAATTCAGAGTGGAATAGAATATAATTCATTTGCCATTTGCACAGACACGTTGTGGTAAATTGGAAGTATTTTGTGTTTTGTCTATGCAAGATTGGTAAAACTTTAAAAATGAGCACAGACTTTGATGTTCATGTTGCACTTTAAAGTGATCAACTGCAGGTAACGTTGCACAACAAATGTGATAGAAAAATTTTATATTTAGTTTGTGATCACTAATCATTATCATCATGTGTAAAAGCATCTGAATCTGGTCACCAGTCAATTATTTGGTTCATTTAAAAAAAAAAAAAAGATAATTCCATTATTTAGATTCTGTTATTGACTCTTTCATTCATCTGTGTGCCTTTTTTACAGTTGTGTTGTGGATGAAATGGACTTCTCAGGCCTGGAGCTGGATGAAGGGCTCCGGAAATTCCAGGCGCACATCAGAGTTCAGGGAGAGGCACAGAAGGTCGAGCGGCTGATCGAGGCGTACAGGTGAGAAACGTCTGTGAGACACGGATTCATTTCTATGATAAGCTCAGCAAGACTACGGTAAGGGATTCTACGATGTTTAAAAGCTCACAACGATATTCCAGTGGAGTTATTATGATACATGAACATACTAGCAAACCAGATTTCAGCCCCATTTCTGTAGTGCAGAAAACAAATCTTGAATGTTAGTTTTGTATTTTAACTCAAATTCTCCAAGGGTAAGGCTAACGTACTTCAGATTTCAGATTTTTTTTTAAAATTGTGGCAAGTCATTGTTAAAGAAAAATATTCCTAAGAGCTGCTTTTGGGTGTCATTTGCTAGTACAGCTCAAAAAATTTGAATCTTGTATAAAAGTTGTATATTTCTTGCCAGTCATCTAAGAAAGTGAAGCAATGATTTTATAGAGATTCATTGAAATAATTCAATTTTTGGTCAAATTTTAATGGCTTACAGGCAAAAATTAATTAATTAATTAATTAAGTGTCTCAGAAAATTACAATATCCCATTAGGGCAACCAAAAAAACGATGGTTTAATCACAAATGTCACAAATATTAGAAGAATCACAATAAGGCTATTAATTTTGACCTTGGTAATTTTTGAATGTTCTTATTACAGTTTAGCACATAAAATTAACTAATCAAACTTTGTGATATTTTGTCTTTGGTCTTTTGGAAGCAATAGGACTATCAGCTTTTACTATGGTAATTTCCATTAGAAGCTTTTGTGTGATTTAATCAAAGTTTAAAGTCATGATGGCTTGCATCATGATATCATGTGTATCCATGTGCAACATGGATACACATGGTAGCTTCACCTTCCTCGTGGATACGGTATTGCACCACTAGCATCCATCCATTATTTACGTACATTTAATCCAGCGTTTGGGCTGCGGGGGGCAGCTGCCCAAGCAGAGAGGTCCAGAGCTTGAGGCCAAAGGTCACGGTGGGAATGCAGACGGACCAATAAATCTTCATCAAAACAGGCCTGCAGATGCCACACCAATCTGCCTATTAATCTCCCGGTTCCTATTTTCCTAGTTCGTGACGCCTGTTTCACTAGTTTTATGCTTTAAAATGATTCTGCTGAACCACATTTCAAAAGCAATGTCTTACTTTCAGTAAGTTTATTTGTTACTTTTGTCAGTTTCGAGTTATTTGACCGTTGTGGGTTTTTCTGTCATTAACAGAAATGGGCTGCAGTTCAAATGGGATTCTTGGCAAACCAGCTGAAAAACTGTTACATGTGAATAAAAGCAGAATTACATGATACAAAGTGTTTTTTAGAATCCCAACATCATCAGATTTAGTCTGACAGTAGAACAACTAACTCAACATTGTTGGGACATCAAGTTTGACTGTCTCGCTCTTTCAAACAGCCTATTTTTATTCCAGTCATGCATACATACGTTGGGATGCATGTGACATATCTGTGGTTTTTTGATAACAGAACAACAAATGATGCCATCTAAATACCTTTTGGCTTTCTGTGTGTGTGTTTGTGTCTCTGATATCTAGCCAGCGCTATTGCATTTGCAACCCCGGTGTGGTGAGACAGTTCAGGAACCCGGACACCATCTTCATCCTTGCTTTCGCCATCATCCTCCTCAACACCGACATGTACAGCCCCAATGTGAAGCCTGAGAGGAAGATGAAACTGGAAGACTTTGTTAAAAACCTTCGAGGTGCTTTGTTTTCCTTCCACTCACAGCTTCCAGCTCACTGTCACAACTCTGCTTCAACATCCAACTCACCATAAACTTAACTTCTAACTTGTCAGGTGCCTTTTGTCACATTAAAGCCCAAAACTAAAAGTTCCCACTTCACTCTTACGCACTAATTTGTGTTGTCTTACCTCATAAAATCCCACTAAACTGAGGGTATTATTCAAAATCAGCTAAACCTAAATCTAACTGGTCAGTTTATTTACTTTTGTTTATTTTACGGCTTTGGGCTCTTTCTGCAAGCTAACTGTGACTGTGCAGTGAAGCTAGCTAAAAATGAATAAACCAGCTATAAACGAATAAGCTAGCTAAGAATAAATAAGCTAGCTAAAAATGCGAAAAGCAGGATTAATCTAAAATCAGCAGTTTATTTGCATTCATAAATCCATAAAAATTAAACTAACTCTTCCTCTCTCAATATCTCTTCCTCATTTTCTGAAAGGTGTTGACGACGGGGAGGACATACCCCGAGAGATGCTGGTGGGGATATACGAGCGGATTCGAAAGCGAGAGCTCAGGACTAATGAAGATCACGTGTCCCAGGTTCAGAAAGTGGAAAAACTGATTGTTGGGAAAAAACCGGTAAGGTTGCTTTCATTCTTTATGTGAAGCTATTGGGGTCATAATGTTAGATACCATGAAGATCCCTTCATGCTGACATGCTGAAATATGCATTTAAACTTGACTGTAAAGTGTAAATAGGAACAGTGACAAATGTCCTGGCCCACTTTGGTTGCTTTATTTTATTTATTTATCTTTTTTGAATTTGTCGGGGCCAGAACTGCAAAAAAGCCATAACAACGTCTTTATTATGGAAAAAAAAAACCTGGAAAATATTCCAGGATGTTTGCAAATCTGATCTGATCTCAACTTGTATTATTTTCCTAAATCTATTGCAAAAGTTTCCACGTGTTCAATAACATTAAAATGTGTTTCCATTGTAATTGCAGATTGGGTCTTTACACCAAGGTCTTGGCTGTGTAAGTATTATTTCTATGTGTTGATATGTAGCATTCTCATGTTAGCATTCATGCCCCTTGAACTTTGACTCATCCTGCCCCTGTTACACAAAGAACTCTCAGTGTATTTTACTAGAATAAGCAAACCAGTTGTGCAACACTGAGAGTGCGAATGAATGAAATGAAAAATATGAAAAGCATTTCAATATGCAAAATGTCTGGCTCAATGATTTTTACAACTACTTTTTTTGTAGATGTCTCCACCATCTTTGAAGTTTTGCAGGCTGAATTTTTGTGCCCATTGTTCTTAGTAAATGTATTTAAAGCTTTTGGCTTCAGATTTGATGGAGATCATCTGTGGACATCATCTTCAAGTCTTTTGACAGCTTCTCAAATGAACTTAGGTCTGGAATTTTACTATGTCAGTCCAATGTATGGATGTGCTTTGATCGAAGCCATTTCCTTGTGGCTCTGGCTGTATGTCTTAACTGTATGCTAATATCCATATCCAATATCAATACTTCTGTTATGGCAGTAGTTACTAATAGGGTTGCACCGATTGAAGTTTTCTGGCCGATTATTGATTTACTGAAATGTCACTAAACATATAGCGAGAAAGTTGCTGAATTGGCAGCAGTGGGGCGACTTTTGCTAATTATACTTCTCAAATGATCTATGTGTATCTGCTGGAGAGAAATCGTATTGCCTCTTTGACTCTGAAATGATGATGGATCCTGTGCAGGTGCTGTCGCTACCCCATCGGAGGCTGGTGTGTTACTGCAGGTTGTTTGAAGTACCTGATCCCAACAAGCAGCAGAAGCTGGGCCTGCACCAGAGGGAGATCTTCCTCTTTAATGACTTGCTAGTGGTACGTCCGCTAGTGGCAAACCGTTCTTCCACAAACACTAAGACTGAAGGTTTTTACCGTTTATCAATGAGTCTCAGCAAGACATATCTGCTTATTTTTCTTAGGTTACCAAAATATTTCAAAAGAAAAAGAACTCGGTGACATACAGTTTTCGTCAGTCCTTCTCGCTCTACAGCATGCAAGTTCTGCTATTTGAGAATCAGTGTAAGTATGTTTTCTTTATTTATTTGAATACGTTTCATGCTTAGTCAGAACACATTTAGGCTTCTGAGTTTTCAGGTTGGGTTCTCCCACCAAAGTGTTTCCGGTACTAGACCAGGACCTCATCTGTTTTATTCTGACTTTCTGCAAAGAAGACAGTCAACAGAATATTTTATTTTACTTTTTTTTTCTTAAACTGGGTGAAGCTGAAACTGAGCCACTTGAGCAGTTGCATAGACCATACTTGCAGATAGAAAAGGCTTTTCATGCATAGTTTTGACTTAATATCTACTCTGAGGATGATTAGTTGATGATTATTTCAATCACCATTAATCGGATAAATTGTTTTAGTCCTGGCACCATATGTTGTACATATTTGGTTAAACCATTAAGCTTTCTTTCACTAACCTCTAATAGGTTCCCTGACACATCTGAGTGAATTACACCTGTGGATGTATTTTAAGGACACACCTAAAACACTCTGCTTTCTAATATTTTGTCGTTTGGAGAAATATGATGAGAATAACACTTCAGACCAGTTCAAGAATATTGGAAAAGTCTTGACCAAAGAGCTTATTCCCATATAAAGTATAATAGCAAGATGCCTTTGCTATTTAGTTTTCGCAACTGGTTCAAATGTGGCAGTTGGGATCGGCCAGCGAGGCATCCCACAATGCAATGGGCCACCAGCAGCAACTAACAAAAATTAGTTTTAAGATGAAGTAGCTAAACATGAGAAAAAACTATGGGATTCATAGATAAGATCAGATGCCTGATCTTAGCTGACACCCAGGGCGCCCGTCTGCTTCAAGGTTTCAGATTGTGGGCATTCAAAGACGGCACTCAGTAGTTGTTTGAGCTACAGTGACCTCTCTGTCTCCATGAATCAGTTTAAATATATAAAATGCAATATTTAGGAGTTCTCCAGATAGGAAGCACTCCTAGATATGAAGGTCTTTTGTTTCTTTTTTTTTTTTTTTTCAGATTATCCCAACGGCCTGCGCCTGACCTCGGCCATTCCCGGCGCAGACATCAAGGTCCTCATTAATTTCAATGCTCCCAATCCTCAGGACCGCAAGAAGTTTACCGACGATTTGCGAGAATCTATTGCTGAAGTCCAAGAGATGGAGAAGTATCGGATAGAATGTAAGCAGAGCCTTTCATTCTGTCCTTTCTCTTCATATTCTCATTCCTTTTAAATATGTGGTGCCCAAGCGACAGACACTCAGATGTTGCGTGTTTGTTTGGTGTGCAGCTGAGCTGGAGAAGCAGAAGGGTTTGGTGAGGCCCAGCATGTCCCAGTGTTCTGGGTTAAAGAAGGAAACTGGGAACGGAAACCTGAGCCGAACCAGCCTGGACGACAGCTACGCCGTCGGTGAGGGCCTGAAGAGGAGCGCGCTCAGCAGCTCCCTACGGGATCTCTCAGACGCAGGTAAGGTCTTAATGTTACATCAGTGCCCTGACTTCCATCTCGTTCTACTTTTTGGTTGGAGAAAAGCAAATACTCCAGCTGGATGCCGGCATGACGCTTTTCATTCCGGTTTCATTGGACGTTTGGGAAAAGGAAGATTTGGATAGTCAGACTCCCAGTACAGGAGCAGGGAAGGAAATCAACGCCATTGCCGAGACACCCAGGTGTTCTTTACTTGAAGCCACCCACTAATAGGCTTGTGTCGCTAGCAGGAGGGAGGAACACCGCTTTGTAGGTCACTGTGATCAATCCAAGCTTCTTAGCGAGAAGGAGGGATTAAAGTTCTCCAGTTATTCATCCAAAGCGAGCAGCAGCAGAAGATGCTCTGCTGCAGAAAAGCATCGGCACAAAAACCCAAAGACACCAGTAAAATGACATGGCTGGTTTGAGCTTTATCTTAGCTGCTTTTGAGAATAAAAATAAGGTATGTTGCCTGTTGCCCATACAGTTTTCGAAAAACTGATGCTTGCTTTTTTTTTTTCTTATGTTTTTAATCACAACCACAACCTTCAGTGCATTTTATTATGACAGAAACCAGTGGATTACTGTGAACTGGAAGGAAATTGTTCCTTTTCTCATTTATTCAAGATAAAATTCAGGTCAGCTAATCACCAAGACGACCAGCAGGTCGGCAGAAATTAATCGTACAATGTTTTGACCACGCGAAATGCCGCGTGTAGCTGATAACAAGCGTCACACATGACCTTGAACACAACATTGCCTTATTTCCCACTACAACATGGGTCATTTTGGTCAAGTAAATGTGGGGGCTGGTTGACGTTTAGACCTTTAAACCTTCATTAATATCTTCAAAGCCAAAGCAGCACAAACAAAAAGTTTTGCTACAGAAGCACAGTCGAGTTTATTGACACCAATTCTATCCGAATTGAAGAATTTAGGAGCGGCTGGTTGACCTTTTATGACCTCTGGAAACATTTCTTAATATCTTTAAAGTGATAGCGGCACAAATGAAAATTTTTGCTACACAAACCAGCACAAACATTTGACCCCAATTTTGTCCGATTTGAAGAAGGTGGGGGGGGGGGACCAACTTCTCTCAGGTGGGACAGAGGTTATCTTTCCTGTGAACGCTGCTGGAGATGCAATTGGACACTTTAGGTCAAAAGATATTTGTGAGTTAGAATGGCCAAGTCAAAGTCTCAACCTAGTTTCAACTATGAATCTGAGAACAATTTAAAAGCGGATGTCCTCCAAACTGTCTGACTGAGCCTGACAGTTTCATAAAGAACAGTTGGTGAAATGTTCAGTCTGTACGCCAAAAGATCTGAAGCTGGAGCTAAAGGTGGAGCTGGTTATGTAGCGTACTACCATTTATAAGCTGAAATAAAGATGAACTGTTAAATAGATAGTGCTACTTCCATTGTGAGAAAGCTATAATTAACAATATCTTAACCTGGGGTGTTTTATTTTTCTGTCTCATTTGGAAATGATATTGAAAATGAATAAACTCTTCCTTCATTTCTCTCCGAGTGGAGCCTATTTGTTGCTCCGAGAGTCTCCTGCTAGTAGAACCTTAGCTCGTCATGTAGCCACCCAAACAAACCCTTACTGTTCTGGCGATAGTTCGGATAAGTTTTGCCCCCGACCCTTAGCTTCCCAAACACCTGGACCAAAGTCAGCTGCTTAGCTAGCTGCGTGGCTCGTAGAATGTGTCCGCATCGCCCCCTGTGGACAGACAGGGTGTGTGCACCTCCATGTTTTAACCAGGCATGTCTTATCTGTCGTGTCCTGGGCAGGAAAGCGCGGGAGACGCAGCAGTGCAGGATCACTAGACAGCAATCTGGAAGTAAGTAGGCAGCGGCTGCTGCCCCGCTGCCTCCGGCCGCCTTTTGCGTTGCTCGCTCTCAGTGTGCAGATTCTATGAGATTTATTGTTTCTGTCTGTTGTGCTGTTCAGTTTTGCAGCTTCCGTTGCTTGTTTGCAGCACTGTGCATGCATTCTGCTGTGGCTGTTGAATTAGGCTTGGTTGTTCACTGCATGACTAGCCTAACTGTAGTTCAGACTCGTGTCGTCATGCTGCTCTGCTGACCTTAGACTCACCTTGAAACCCATATGTGGAAGCTGACTGTTGTAGTTCTACTCTTCCATTGATGCAATAACAGATAGCGCACAGTTGCGTTACGAAAGTTGTCCTTTCAGCATGTTCCCTGCATCTGTGTGGTTAAGAAGAAGTGTTTGCCCCGTGTTTCCATGACGTTTGTTTTCTCCGTTGCAGGGCTCCATCATTAGCAGTCCTCACATCCGGCGGAGAACCCCTTCGGGTCGAGACTGTGCGTCCCGTCACAGCGGACACTCCCTGCCCAGCTCCTCCTCCCTGCTCGGGTCTCTGTTTGGCACCAGGCGGGTGAAGTCGCCTGGCCCCTGCTCTGGACCCCAGAGCCCACACCCCACCCTTGTCTCCCACGCCCCGCACCCGGCTAACCTGCACCACGCGGCCCGAGCAGAGTCGGACTCGTCCGTTCCCGTCCATCCTCACCCCATCCCCTTTTGCCATGTGACCCAGAATCCCCCGCCTTACCACCACCACCATCACTACCACCCACCGCCCCATCTGCAGCACGCGCCACACCAGTGCCACGTGCCTCCATCTCATGGCCAGCAGCCGCCCTACCCGCCATATCCACAGCACAGCCACGGCAGCCACTCTGCCCACGGCGGCCACCTTCACGGCCCGCCGCCGACGCCAACGCCAACGTCTCAGGTTCCCAGCAGCAGCACCAAGCCCAAACACAGCGGCATCAGCACAGTGGTGTGAGTGGATCACGGCGTACCGTACCTTCTAAAGACTTTTACCGGATGAAATCGTCACATTGTGCGTCTCTGGTCTGCAGATGAATCCAGACTCCAGCATAGACTTTGTTTGGCGTCATGTTTCTGCAAACTTTCCCTCCTTCATCCCCTGCATTTCATTTCAAGTTCTGTCTGCCTGCTTCAGGAGTGACAGACTCATGCAAAGACCACAAGCATGGCAAAAGAACAAAATATCTTACCAAGAATTTCTGGTCTAGTTTCTAGAGAAAATGTCTTGGTACTAGAGGTGCACCGATTGCAGTTTTCTGGCAAGAAAGTTGTGGAGTTGGCAACAGTGGGGTGACTATTGTTAATTGTAAACATGCAGACATGACTTGGTGGGCTGGTCTGTCAGTAAAACCTTTCTCACTGGAGAGCAAAAGAGGACAGTGGTTGATTCTTTGACCTTTGCCAAGCGAGATAAGATCGGTGGATAAGATCGGCTTCACATGTAAAAATCAGTCGATCACTGAACTCCCAAAATGAAGGAAATCAGCACCAATAAATCGCTACTTAGTAGATTTGAAATAAGACAAAACTAACTGACATGTAACTTTTCAGCAAGATAAAGTAGCTTTGCTCTAGTCAGTGTTTCTCAACTCCAGTCCTTACCCCCCCTGCCCTGCATGTTTTAGGTGTTTCCCTTCTGCCACACACCTGGATTGAATATGTTGGTGATTAACAGGCTTCTGCAGTACTTGGTGGTCATGCAATCATTTGAATCAGCTGTTCTGGAATAGAGGCACATCTAAAACATGCAGAGCAGGGGGGCCTGAGGACTGGAACTGATAAGCACTGCTCTAAGTCAATAATTGGTAATACTGATGGAAAAGTTCTAGTTCCATTGGCAGATTATTTCACTTATGGGAAAAATATCTTGTTTTAAGTGACATAATCTGTCAGTGGAATTAGTACTTTTTCATCAATATTAAGGAATTATTGACTTAAAGTTAGCTACTTTATCCTGCTGAAAAGTTACTTGTAATTTAGTTTTGCCTTATTTCAAGATATATGCACAAGAAACTAGATCGAGATGACTTGGTAGGATTTTGTGTTTTTGCAGTGTAGCACTGTGTGTCTCAAATTCATAAAAAGCAACGAGATTTAACCTCTATGTATTTAACAGAAAATGCTAAACGGCGTCGCAGAGACGGTGGTTATTTAATGTAGCAGTAGCTCACAGTGCACTGTGATATATCTCTGGTAGCAGTTCTAAATGTGCCAATTACCCACAGGATTTATCGAGGTAGTAACTAAAATTTACTCAATATCTATTGTTCATTATATTTTGTAAAAATAATAATAATAATAACATTGGCTGTTACTATTCTAATTAATGCCAAGCAAATGGGTTCAGTTAAACTCAGTAGTGCTGCACATGAGGGGGCCGTAGTTAGGAACCAGTATGGCGCTGGTATTGGGTCACTGGATGCCCATCCATGTTGACGACGTCGGTAATCCGCTGGAGTTCGTTGTGTTTGGAGTTGGCCGTCGTTCGCTCCCGGCTGTAAACTGCTCCGCTTTTCTTCTTTTTAAGTCAAACAAGTTTTAAACAAACAAACAAAAAAAAGAGTAAAAATCTGAGTTCCGTGTTGCTCCGCTACCTCGAAGGGTTCTACAAGTTTGCGTTTTGAAGACGCCACGCCGAGTCACTGACCGTGGCAGCCAGCGCCTGTATGCTTTCCTCACTTCAGAAAGCAGTTTTTTATCAGCGACCCAGCAGACATATTACGGGACAGCTGGATGCCTCTGTAGCATTTTCAGTGGATTGAGTGACAAATATCATTTTTTTATGTAAGAGTTTTTTTGTTGTTGTTTTACTTGTTTTGTCTGATTTTATTTGTTCGGTGGATCCTAACGTTTTGTTTGTGTTCTCTGTCATGTCCTCCGGTGTTTCAGTGCAGTTGGCATCCACATGGATTTGGATGTGGTGAACCCCTTCCACACTGAGACAGGCAAAAGAAACGCTCAGCTAGCGGCGCTGTGTTCCCAAAACGATCTCGGTTAATTAAAAACATAAAAGATTACTAGAACAGAATTGCAGAAGAGGTGTGCTTTATTTGGATTTTATAAAAGGCATACAAAAAGTGGAGCATCAACCAAAGTGGAGAATAAATGTTGCCACCGTTCACTGCAGGTCCAGCGGCTGGTTTTTCTGGATCTTTCTACCATCTTTGAACAGACTGACTTTTTTTTTTTTTTTTTTGCCCATTTTCTACTTAAAGCTCAGTCAGATTAGGAGAGAATCTGAACATTAGTTTTTTGTCTATAATGAAAATATCTTTGCACTCCTGAAATAGGACTAAACTAACAAGTAACTTTTCAGTTATAGTTTCAAGTAAATTTTTCCTTAATATTGACGAAAACGTTCGAGTTCCATTGGCAGATTATTTCACTTATGAAAAGAAATTTTCCAAATAATCTGCCAATGGAACTAGAAATTTTTTTATCAATATTAAGAAATTATTGACTTAAAACAAGCTCCTACATCTTGCTGAGAAATGACTTCTAAGTTAGTTTTGTCTTATTTAAAGTGATCTAAGATGTTTGTTTAGAAACTAGACCAATATTACTTGGTAAGGTTTTGTGATTTTGAAGTGTGGGTAAAAGTAAACCTCTGTTCATGCTCTATAGATTATAAAACCTTCACAAGGACTTTCCCACTCGTAAATCACACCACTGATTTAGGTTTTCAGATGGAACTCTTATATTTTCACTATCTTTATCCTTGGATTACATTGAGGCTACTCAGTTTCTCCCCCCGCCCCTTCCCTTCCACCAACTAATTTTCTCTAAACCTTTCAGTAAACACATTTTAGACCAGTCGTCTTATTTACAAGCACATGTCTGAAAATTATCTTTCCAGCATATCTATGGTTTTCTTTGCATTTCAAGTAAACAAACAAAAAAATAATAATCAAAGCTTCAAGTTGTCCTCACTGGTCCAATAATTCACATTCAGTGGTTTACAAGAAATACTATAATAATAATAAAGTAATTGATATATGCTTCTGTGCAACAAAGTCTTTAATGCTGTGGCAAAGATGGCGCCTCGCACCACAAATAAATGATGTAATTTAAAAAGCCTGGTGAAAATATCGTATGTCTGGAGAAAACACTGAAACACAAACTTTATGATGCTCATGTTCTGTGGCATCCGTAATACGCCGTCGTTGTTCTGAGTATAAAAATAATGAAACGGATTCATAAACCACAAAGCTGAGTGGCTTTGTTCAGTGTCAGTCATGCTAGCTCTAGCTAAGCTAATGAACGTGAATCTCAGCAGCCCATCCAAATTCAGTGTGAGATGCTTCGCTGCATGCCGTTGATGCCTACGTTTTCTTTGATCTGTCCTTTTCTTTTTTCTTTTTCTCTCTTTTTTTTTTACTGTTTTCTATCATCAGCATGTGTGACTAAAACAATCTGGTTCATCTCTGTTGCTTGTTTACATGTAGACGATTTCTGCCGTGTCATCCGGTCTTGTCACTCCGACGCGCTCCTGTTCACTCTGCACATTGCGACACGTTGCTGAGTGTGAAAACCTACTGTGATTTAAACGTATGGTGTGGAGCAGTTTGGAAATGGATGGTATGTTTTTTTGTGGTAGCAAAGAATGATAAATACTTGTACATACTCTGTAAATTATACTTTTAACCAGGTATAATTATTATCAATGTCTACAGGTGAATTGAAAGTACATCCCTGCTCCCCCCGACTTCCATATAATCCACATAATCACAGAGCTGCTGCTGTTTGCCTCTGATAGGACTGAATTATCACCAGATCCAGGAACGTCACATGGTCTTCACCTTTAATTCCATTCTCCATCTCTTGTGGTCGAGCGTGGAAGTCGAAGGGAAGGCGCTCTGTTTGGAAGTAGACAAATTCCCTGTTAATGTAAAACGAGTCCTGTGACGATTATTGAGAACATAATAAAATGATGCACTATAAGAGCTGAAGTGCCTTTTGATTTTGCTTGTGGTTGATGTGAATGACTGTATGAACAGCTCTTCTTACAGGCCAGTGGCAGCTAAGCATGAGCTGGTTACCAGAGTCATGGTATATTGTGGGTTTTTTGCATCCATATAATATCAAAATGTATCCAATTAATAGATTTGATTGCTGACTGGGTGTTCCTGGTGTTATCTGCAGGGTAGATAAGCCTAGAAATACTTTCCAGTATGTTGAGAAATATTTCTATTTATTTCAAATGGACAAAAATAACAAAATAAAACAAATTATGATGCCCAATTGACATGCAATTTTACATTATCCACTCAAACAGGAGCAGGTAGAAGATACAAGATCTTATGATTTCCTGCCCCTCTCGTACGCATCAGCCCACGTTTATATATTTATGTATAAATATAAAATCTCTGTAAATGTAAATGTAAAAGTTAGTTTTACATTTTCGAAGTCAGTAATTTCTAATTCTGACTAATTTTTTATTTATATACACACCCAGATATTTGACGTTGGATTTTACAGGATTAGTAAAACCGGTAGATACATGACAGTCCATTGAAGGCAAATTTTCACATTTGTTTAAATTTAATATAAGGCCTGAGGCCTTCGAAAATGCTTCAATGCATTAGAGAATTTTAGAAACTTCATTCAGGTTGTTTGAGAAGATTGACTGATAGAAAACTCTGTCCATCTCAAATCTTTGCGAGATTTGAGATACAAACACCCTGAGCTGTTTGCATCTTCCTAAAATGTTTTAATTACATTAGCAATATTTTTTCCAAACTGAAATTAATATAAAGGTTTGAACATAAATTCATGCTCTATCAGAGTGAAGGCTTTATAAAAGTCTAAAAATGATTCAAAACCTTAATTTTCAACTAAATGGTTATAGACAATTCTGTCCAATATAAGATTAATATGTGTGCCTGATTTTAAGCTGTTGGCAAAAATGAAGGATAGGAGTGTGTAATCATTATTTAATAGTGTTACAGGTCTTAAATCATCAAGAAGAGTTGGATCTTTCCCAAGTCTAGGCATGAGTGTAACAATACCTTGTTTCATAGAGCGTGTTATACAGTCATGATCTAATATTTATTAAAGCATTCCAAACCAGGGTTCTGATATAAACCCAAAAATGTCTGTAAGCGTAGAACATAACTAACAATAAAACTTTAAAAGTGTATTTAGAAATAGTTTTATGTTTGAAAAAGGAAAAAGGGTTTTAGAAATAATTTTACGTTTTAAAAAAAGGTTTTTAAAAATGTATCAAAAAATGAAGAAGAAACCTGGCAATGGTTGATACTTTTTTTATTTTACACATATATTTTACGAGGGACTCTGAAAGCATCTCCAGTGAAAATACCAACGTCATCAATATGCGTCAGAGACGGGTGAAAGGTTACTCCGCCAGTGTTTGATAAAGCAAGTACACGGACGTTGGTTTAAGGTTTACGTGCTTCGAAGTACAATGAATGTCAACAGCTTCCTCGCGTTATCCAGAGCTTTTCCACGCGGAAAGAACAGACTCGTCTGTCACGCGTGGCACCTGGAGAAACAGGCGCTGCGTGTTCAGCAGCGGAGGACGATCAGAACTCATTCAAGGAGTCTGGCCTACGCCAAGGATCTGTTCCTGGGGCAGATCAACAAGGTAACGGGGGGGAGTTGTTTTTAGATGCGTGACAGTTGACGGCGAACAGTTACTTTAACAAGGCGAAACGGTACAAAGGTATTCACATGACCTGAAGTTTGTCAGTTCAAACTTCACTGGTATCAATGTGACTTTGTAGGACAGAGCAACACAAAGCAAGATATACATGAGGTTTACTTCCTCTGTACTCTGACACTCCGAAAACCATTAAATGCTTCTGGAAGCCACGGGAACACTAAGTAGTCTTTCTGTGAAGCTTCGAAAGTTAACCTGTAACAGCAATAGCTCACTTTTTGAGTCAACCAGGTCAAGAAAACTCACCAAAAACCTGAAATTACATTCAATTAAAGAATAAAAAATAAGCAGCAGGCTCACGAAGGCACATTAAAAATGTCTATTGTCCAGTTTTTAGTCTATGTATTCATTTTCATTTACTTTTACTTGAGTAAAAATACGTTGATGTAGTGCTACTCTTACTCGAGTACAATCTTTGGGTTCTGTACCCACCTCTTTAAATCAGTATAAAAAATGACAACAATACAACTGAAATTCACAATTTTTATTTGGAGTCATCGTATTTGTCTCCTCCAGGCTGAGGTCTTCCCTTATCCAGAGATTGGAAGCGATGAGTTGGAGGAGGTTAAGCAGTTTGTTGCGCCAGTGGAGAAGTTCTTCAACGAGGAAGGTGAGAGAGGAGGATCTGAAGTAATGTCGGTCAATTGGTTATTAAATTATTTTATTAATTGTTGTCTCCCCCTTCCCCCACAATTCCAGTTGATTCAGCGAAAATAGATCGAGAAGCTAAGATCCCAGCAGAGACTCTGAATGGCCTGAAGGAGCTGGGCTTGTTTGGAATCATGATCCCTGAGGAATATGGTGAGATGGTGGGATCACAGCAATAATCATTTTTAAATATTAAATAATGTAGATTTTGATCAGTCACTCAGTACTTGAGTCGCTTTTTTACCAAACTCTTTTTTCTTACTCTCACTCAAGCAATTTTTGGACGGCTACTTTTTACTGTCACTTGAGTAAAAGTATGTTAAAGTAGTGTTACTCTTACTTGAGCACAATCTTTGGGTCCTTCGCTAAATTGAAGTTGTGCAGAAAAGTAAGCAGATTATCCTCAACATCTCCTGATGTGATCTTATGCATTCATAAAAATCTCTGTCTTCCTAACCGCAGGTGGTCTCGGACTCTCCAACACCATGTATGCCCGGCTGAACGAGATCATCGCACTGGACGGCTCTATTGCCGTCACTCTGGCTGCACATCAGGCCATTGGTCTGAAGGTAGCTGTTGCATGCCGCTTTATTTGTGTTGAGTCTCGGTCTGCTCACTTAGTCGAACACGCTGGGATGTGTGCGTGCTAAGAGTCGTGTGGTTTCAGGGGATTCTGATTGCTGGGAACGAAGCACAGAAGAAGAAGTATCTGCCCAAGCTGGCTTCAGGAGAACACATCGCCGCTTTCTGCCTTACAGAACCTGGCAGGTACAGATCCTGACAACTCCTTCAGGACCGGGTCCACAGTTTCCTCTGAAGGTTTTTTTTTTTTTTTTTTTTAGTTTTATTCTTATAAAAATGAAGAACCTGCTGCACTGAACCCCATTGAAAACCTTCTGGCTATTCCACCAAATCTTGATATCTGAACTCTTCCTGAGTTAAAACATCAGTATTGTTGTTTCTAAATGAAGATAAACTTGTTTCTTTGCATGATTTGAGGTCTGAAAGCGCTGCATCTTTTTTGTTATTTTGACCATTTCTCAATTTCTACAAATAAATACAAAATATTTGCTTCAGAATTTCAGAGACATGTTGTCTGTACTTCATAGAATAAAAGAACAATGTTCATTTTACTCTAACATACACCTATAAAAAGTAAAATCTGAAAAACTCATAATTCTAAGTATCAGCTGATCACCGATTGATAAATTGGTTCACTCCGAATGTCTACAAAAGTCTTTGACTGTAAGGTGGCCAGTCAGATGATTTTAGCAAAAAAAATAACAACTTCCAAATATCCAGACATCTGTTTGTTTTTTTTGTCTTCTTTGGATAGCAGCTTCACATTGCCAACCAGTTTGATGTTCTTATTGTTTTCTTTTCCCTTCAGTGGAAGTGATGCAGCTTCCATTCAGACTCTGGCGACTCTGTCTGAAGATGGAAAACATTACCTGATCAATGGTTCCAAGGTGACGCATATCAATTTTACAAAAAAAAAAAAAATATATATATATATATATAAACCCCTCTCCCAGCATGTTCCTATTTCTGTGGAGCGACTCTTGAGTTCCTCGTTCGTTCTCTTGTTTTCAGTTTTGGATTTCAAATGGAGGCTTCGCAGACATCATGACAGTGTTTGCTCGGACCGCAGTGGAAGTAGACGGTGTGAAGAAAGACAAGATTACCGCCTTTATCGTGGAGAAAGCTTTTGGGGGCATCAGCAGCGGCAAACCTGAAGACAAACTTGGCATCAGGGGTTCCTACAGTAAGACGTTCATTCATACCTGGCAATGCGCTCGGCGGCGTTTAGGCCGCATTACCTCTGCTATGCAAAAATATTCATACCCATGGAAGAGTTGTACATTTTGTCGCGCTACAACCACAGACATGGTTGTACCTTCCTAATCCCAGACCCGTAATCCAACCCTTTCTTTTGGAAGGTAAAGAATTTGAAAAGAGATTTTGCTCACAGTAAATGGAGGTCGTTCACCCAATCAAACTAAGCTCGACTGATTTTCAAAGAAGAATGAGAAAAACTTGTCTGTAGATGTTTAAAACTGAAACACACCTCAAGGTATTTACTTCCATACATGCTATGCTTTCATTTTATTTGCTAAAAAAGTCAAGCCACATATTGGTTTCTTTTTGTCTTCTGATTTCTCTGCTGCCATTTCAGAGAGAACGATGCATTTGCACAAATGTGCAATTTGCACAAAATGGGTCCTGAAACGTGTGCGCACCGCTTTCCACGCAAAGATTGCGATTCATAAAAAACAAACTTGACGCGAAACTAATATTACCGAGGAGTTTTGCATCGGGAATGTATGGCTTCATGCGTGTGTTGAGTGCAGAACCTTGTGTGAAAACGTTTAGGTACAGCTGTGGTTTATCAGGAAAATTGTGTGCTGGTGCGTATGAACGGTTTTGTAAATCCAATATTTTTTTTGGTGAACATCATCTTTACCTTTTGGCCAAACACACACTTTTAGTACGAGTCCTGCAGTTCTCCATATATGACACTAAGCGACGATGTTAGCATAATTGCTCTTTGTTTTGAAGCGTGTGAAGTTTCCTTTGACAACGTTCCTGTTCCCGTGGAAAACGTGATTGGAGAAG